CCTCTAACCTAGTCGGGGGTGTTTGTGGTCTGCACAGAGCTCTTATTTGACATCGTTACTGTACTGTAACCATTATATGCTATGCAATACTTTTTTTAATGCCACGCAATTCTACAGTGTGCACGTGAGACAATGTGTCCTTCTGTTGTCTTTGACAGCTTTTAGGTGTGTTATTGGCAGCGCCATCCTCTGCTTACATGAACGAGTCACCACCGCATCAGCACAGAAAACATGGGAAATTGTTAAAGACAATAATCGCAAAACCTATTCAATATTCTATAATTAAATCAACGAATCGAATATTTGAAAATCGTGACCCATCCCTAATTTTCATAAGGAACTGTAATTTAATTACACATTTTTTCTCAGTGACTGTAACAAATTAGTTACTTTTATTTGGTATTTAAATTACGTAATTCTGTTACATGTACAGTGGGTACGGAAAGTATTCAGACCCCCTTAAATTTTTCACTCTTTGTTATATTGCAGCCATTTGCTAAAATCATTTAAGTTAATTTTTTTTCCTCAATGTACACACAGCACCCCATATTGACAGAAAAACACAGAATCGTTGACATTTTTGCAGATTTATTTAGCAAATGGCTGCAATATAACAAAGAGTGAAAAATTTAAGGGGGTCTGAATACTTTCCGTACCCACTGTAAGTTACTCCCCAAAACGAAAAATCCACTCTGTATTTGTTTAATATTTGATTTTTTTGCCTTTGTGATCTTTAATCAAAATAATAAAATAATCAAAATGTCAACTCTATCATCTGGTGAAAATTGCAGACTAGACTGGTGATGTTTGCCGGATTTCTGTAATCGTTTTGTCCTCTTCAACCCCAGTCGTCCACAACCGACTACAAGCTTGCATTCATTTTTGAGTATCTAAAAACAACAATCAATGCATAGAACCACATCCCTGCCATAAAAAAAGGTTTCTGTCGCTACTTACGTTTAATTGTGATTTTAAAGGGGTCATATGATGCAATTTCAGGTTTTCCTTTCTCTTTGGAGTGTTACAAGCTG